TTTAGGTTTGAAAGTGGAGAAGAGAATTAACAGACCCAGTCCCAGAGGGGAAGGTTTTTGTTCCTAAGGGGTAAGTTGCCAGGATATTAGATTGTTATCAGTTGTAGTATATATTGCCCAAATACGAAACCAGAGATATTCCTAGGGATAGTATTGCAGAGGGCTGATGGATTTTAAAAGAGGTCGATTGATAGTGGGGGGGGGGGGGGGGGGGGTTTTACCTTTGTATGGGGGGGGGGAAACCTGCGGGCTGGATACTACCTCCCAAGTAAGGAAAGACGGAGTAAAGGGCACTGAGATTATTAAAGAAATCATTGAAATGAGTGTCAGCTGGTGGATATATGGGAGGATAATCAGGCATATGAAAGATAGAGATTATTACATTTTTATTCACATGTTCACGAGACTTACTCCAGATTGGATTACGTTTTGGTAGAACATCAATTTATCTAGACTCGTGGTAGAGGTTTTATGATTGGAGGGAGTTCTATCTCAGACCACTCTCCGGTTGCAATGAAGTTAAGATGGGGTAGTGAAGATAGAGGGGTTTTGTGTGGCGGGATATGAAATGAAGCACTTCTTTTGGATGAGGAGATCGACCGAAAGATTAAAATCGAAATTGACCGATATTTTGAAGAGAATGATATGAGGAAGTGTCTGTGTAATGCAACATTGTGGGAAGCCCATAAAGCCTATATCGAGGATTACTTATTGCAATAGGGGGGCAAAAAAGAAAGAGAGAAAGAGAGAAAAGATCAATAGACTTTTAAATGAAATAGCTGATCTGGAACAGGCTCATAAAAGGAATATCTCGAAAGAACTAAAGCAGAAGATAACAAAAAAGAAAGATGAATTAGAGAGGACAATAGAGGAAGAAAAAAGAAGAGTCTTTTAATAAATTAACAAGCGAAAGGTGATAGATGGGGAGATAGGCCGGGAAAACACATTAATGAGGGCGTTGAGGGAAACGAAAAATAGGAATTATATAGAAAAAATAAGAAACTCCAAGGGTGAAATGGCCCACTCAACTAAAAGAGCATCGAAAAATTAGGTTGAGAGTCCTTACAGGCCAATATAGTTTTAATTCACAAGGAAGATAAAGGACCCCTCTCAGTGTGCAAGTTATAGACCCATTGCACTGTTGAATGTTGATACTAAATTGTTTGCAAAAGTTCTGGCAAACAGGCTTAAGGCCTTGTTGCCAGAATGGATACATGAGGTGATCAGGTGGATTTGTCCCGGGTAGAGAAAGGTAGAGACAACGGGACTAAGATCATTTGTTTGCTTATACAAGAGGGAAAAAACTCTATATTATAAATAAATACCTCAACTGTCAAGCACACCCGTCAATTGATGCAGAGAAAGCATTCGATAGAGTGAACACTGGAGTTTTACTCATGATGGACACCTTGGTGGAGATGGGGTTGGGGGGAAAGAATTAGGAAGTGGATTGGTAATTTATATATAAGGCCCCACAGCCACTGTCTTGGTAAACCGGAGGAAGGATTGGAGCTCTTCGGGAATTGTCAAATGGAACTAGACAGGGATGCCCCCTATCCCACTATCTTGTTTGTTTTGTCCCTGGAACCATTGTTGTCAATGATAAGAAACCCCCCAATATCAATATAAAAGGAAATAAAGATAGGTGATAGAGAACCTAAGGTGTAGCGGCCTACATCGGGGACGATTTATTGTTTTTTCGTTGGAAACCCTCGTATTTCTCTACCAAAACTTAATGAAAATACTGAAAGAGTAATGGGGAAAATATCAAACTTAAAAATCAATCCAACAAAATCTGAAATTTTAAATATAAATCTTAAAATAGTGAAAAAGAAAAAAAATACAAGAAGAATTCCCCTTTGTGTGGAGAGAGAAGGAACTAAAATATCTTGGGGGTTAAAATTGTCTCGGCCTCAATTAATAATATGTATAAGATTAATTATATTTTCACTTTTTAAATCTAGATGATAAAAGAGGATTTTGAAGAGCAAATTGGGAACTGGAAATCCGTCTTGGATGGGTCGTATAAATTTGATAAAAATGATTATTTTTGCCCATAAGTCTTATACAGTTTTCACAAATGATCCCACTCCTCGCAATTAAACTTCCAGAGGTTTTTTTTTCAGGACATTAAGGAAAATGCTGGTTGGGGTCTATATGGAAGGAAAAAAAAACCGAGGATATGCTATGAAACGCTGACTAGAATGATAAAGAGAGAGGAGGCTTAGGGCTCCCAGATTTCAAGAGATATTTTATTAAGCGACCTTGATTGCACAGGAGAATTTTTGACTGGACTCATACCTCAGGTAAAAGTTGGGTTAAAATTCCGATTGAAACCATATATTGAGTGGGTCCAATCTGAATAGAATTATATGGTTACCTACACACATCTCATAGAGGTTTTGAGGTGTTAACACAAGTATATACACTTCTATTGTTTTAAATCCGTTTGGCAGATGTATACACAGACAAAGGGGTTGGGTTTCAACTCACAGTTAATGCCACTTAAATAATACAGATTAACTTTGCACGGGGAAGGAAGATATCACGGGGAATTGGATTATTAAACAGGAACGCGCAATTGAGAGATACAATGGTGGGTAGGAACTAAGATCTTATTAGAGAGATGGAGAAATTAAAGGGAGAGGTTTTTAGCAGAATGGACGAGGTTCGATACATCAATTAAAACATTTTTTTGAGAGTCTCCCAAAAACCGGTGAGGAACTAAAAAGGATTGGAATTTTTTTGAAAGTTTATTAGATACACGGGGAGAATGGGAGACACGGTGTTGCTAATAATGTATAGAATCTTAACGGCACTTGACACTGACACAAAATTAATTTATGTAGAGAAATGGGGAAAAGACATGGGTAGGGAGATCGATGAGGGACAGCAGAGGAAAATGCTTAGATTAATTCACGAAAATATTAGTATGAGAGAAGTAGAATTAAATTATAAGTGTTTAGTTAGATGGCACATCGCACCGAGTGTGGAGCACCAGATGAGATGAGAGAATGAGAACTCTCCACTATGTTGGAGAGGTATGTGGAGAAGTGGGTACACTATATCACATTTGGTTGGGAATGTTCAAAGATTTTTTTTTTTTTTTTTTACAGGTGTTTTGGGGGAAAATCGTCCATTTAATGAGGAAAATTACTAAGATCGATATTAGATTGGACCCAGAGTTATGTCTCCTTCATATCTCTGAGCTTACAGTGAGATCATATAAGGACTCAGGGATTTGGTACTTTCTGACGTGCAGCCAAAAGCTTGATTCCTAAGTTTTGGAAAAAAAGAGGGAGGTCCCGACGGAAGAAGATTGGTTGATCAGAATGAATCAGTTATGTGAGATGGAAAGACTTTATTACACACACATAGAACGGGATGGAGATGTACCATAAAAAGTGGGGAAAATGGGGAAGAATTTAGACAAGAAAGTTGAAATATAGTTGATTTTATACCTCTTGACGAACAATGATTTTTTTTAGAAATGCGTTTTAGAAAGAAAAAGGATTAGTGCCTTTATATATTTATTTATTTATTCGTTCTCTTCCCTTTGGATTTGAAAAAGAAATGGCAGAGTGGGATGGAGGGGGGTGGGGGAGAGATGTGGTGATGGGTGTGGGTGGGGGGTGGGGCTTTAAGAGGGGGGGGGAATTAGGGTTGTGGGAAATAAATAAAATTATGAGGAAACATAATGATTATTTAATGAAGAAAAAATGTTTGTTTAACTATATCTGATTGAAATTCAATAAATATTTATAAAAAAAAAGGAGGAAAACCTATAAAGTATGGTGGATACAGAACAGGGAGTGTAAAGTGTTTTTATTTATAAAGTGTATTCTGTGTGCTGAAAATTTCTCCAGCAATTTCACTTCACCTGAAACACAGCGAAAAAAGGAAAACGTGAGATGAAATCCCCCTCTCTCAGACAGTTGTCAACACAACAGGTATTCTCATTGGAAGCTTTCTCCTCATCTCTTATTTTGGTGACAGGTTAAGCCACTATACTCATCCAATGTCCAGTGCTATTCACCACAAGACACATGGATCCAATATTGTGGTGCTGCTCCCCTGGTTGGGAAAGGGACACACAGCCTCAGTCAACTCACGTTCTTTGAGCTACGCCATCAAGCCTTTGCCCTTTTGCCTGGGTGCTGCAGAGAGCAGAACATTACCAGTACTCTCATAAGCTCTCACTTTATCAGCATCATTTTTTAAATTAAAAAAGTATTGTTCAAAATTATCATTGAAATGTTTACAGATATTTAGAAAATGTATCCGGCTCGCCAGGCAGGGGCGTATCTGCTGCGAGGCAAGGGCAGGACAGGAGAGCTCGGCAGGGGTTGGGTGGGAGGCAGGAGGGCGGGATCAGCACAGGGGTTACTAAGAGATAGGCTAGCGAGAGGATGGGGTGGGGAAGGCGAGCGATAAGTAAAATAAGGGGCGTGGTCTTTTCAGGGCGCTGTCATGTTGGCGAGCCGCTGCTTCGGTGACAGAGCGGCCGGTGTTATTGGGAGGAGCTTAAGGGCGCGGTTGACGTGTGAGACGATCACAGGGGCTGCCAAGTGTCAGGGGCCCTCCCTGCTCATCAATGCTGAGATTTACAGGAAACCGCTGCCGGAGCCACACTGCATGTTTGTGTCAGGCTGGAATCACAGCGAAAAGTGCATGCATCCCAATCTACAGGCACCTGTGACCCACAGGGGTCTACTTACCAACTTTTTCACTCAGGATTCACACAAAACTTTCACCCATTACCTCCCCCCTTCCTTCCTCTCTCTCTCTTTCCCCCCCTTCCTCTTTCTCTCCCCCCTCCTCTCTCTCTCACTCCCCCCCCTCTCCCCCTCCTCTCTCCCCCCTCCCCCCTCCTATCTCCCCCCCTCCTCCCTCTCCCCCCCTCCTCTCACTCCCCCCTCCCCCCTCTATCTCCCCTCCTCTCTCCCCCCTCCTCTCTCCCCCCCCCTTCTCTCTCCCCCCTCTCCTCCTCCCCTCCTTAACTCCCTCCCCTCTCTCTCTCTTTACATTGTACACAGATCTGACCCAACAAGGTGTCCTGCATTTACCGTATATTTTTGCTCCATAAGACACACTTGGGAGGAAAATGTCTGTGCATCTTATGGAGCGGCAGGCCCAGTATTCCCGCCGCCGTTGTATGTCCGCAGTTTCTGGTCATCTCCTGTACTGTGTCCGCAGTCTCTGGTCATCTCCTGTACTGTGTCCGCAGTCTCTGGTCATCTCCTGTATTGTGTTCGCAGTCTCTGGTCATCTCCTGTACTGTGTCCGCAGTCTCTGGTCATCTCCTGTATTGTGTTCGCAGTCTCTGGTCATCTATTGTAGTAGGTCTGCAGTCTCTGGTCATCTCCTGTAGTAGGTCTGCAGTCTCTGGTCATCTCCTGTACTATATCTGCAGTCTCTGGTCATATCCTGTACTGTGTCCGCAGTCTCTGGTCATCTCCTGTACTGTGTCCGCAGTCTCTGGCCATCTCCTGTACTGTGTCTGTCCGCAGTCTCTGGTCATCTCCTGTACTGTGTCCGCAGTCTCTGGTCCTCTCCTGTACTGTGTCCGCAGTCTCTGGTCATCTCCTGTACTGTGTCCGCAGTCTCTGGTCATCTCCTGTACTGTGTCCGCAGTCTCTGGTCATCTCCTGTACTGTGTCCGCAGTCTCTGGTCATCTCCTGTATTGTGTTCGCAGTCTCTGGTCATCTATTGTAGTAGGTCTGCAGTCTCTGGTCATCTCCTGTAGTAGGTCTGCAGTCTCTGGTCATCTCCTGTACTATATCTGCAGTCTCTGGTCATCTCCTGTACTGTGTCCGCAGTCTCTGGTCATCTCCTTGCACTGTGTCCGCAGTCTCTGGCCATCTCCTGTACTGTGTCTGTCCGCAGTCTCTGGTCATCTCCTGTACTGTGTCCGCAGTCTCTGGTCATCTCCTGTACTGTGTCCGCAGTCTCTGGTCATCTCCTGTACTGTGTCCGCAGTCTCTGGTCATCTCCTGTACTGTGTCCGCAGTCTCTGGTCATCTCCTGTACTGTGTCCGCAGTCTCTGGTCATCTCTTGTACTGTGTCCGCAGTCTCTGGTCATCTCCTGTACTATGTCCGCAGTCTCTGGTCTTCTCATGTAGTATGTCCGCAGTCTCTGGTCATCTCCTGTACTGTGTCTGCATTTGTTCATAGTTTTTTTTTTTTTTAAAACTATAGTCCGGCCCTCCAACGGTCTGAGGGACAGTGAACTGGCCCCCTGTTAAAAAAAATTTGAGGGACCCCTGATCTAGAGGCTCAAATGCCAAGATGCCAGTTGAAGTCATTTAAAACATTAACAGAATCACTAAAAAGGTAAAATGCTTTTTTTCTGTGTGGTTACTTATCCATTCCCAAGTATATATATGTAATAGTGTACAATTGAAAACTCCAAAATTAAATATAAGTATACATAGCATTAAACAAATATCTACTCTTATTGTATATCTCATTCCTTTTAAATAGCAATTCTAAAGAGAAGGAAACATATTCATTATAAAGACATTTGCATACTGATGTTGAAAATCTGAAAGCTAATCAACTCCTAGCTTCACTGCTTCTTAGTTATCTTCTTGTGGGTTTCCGGATGGTATTGAGCATAGTGAATAAGGAAGAAACCCTCCCCCACTAACAACAGCTCTTCTCTGCTGGAGTTCTATGCAGAGCTTCCCAATGCATGACAGTGTTCAGTTTATGGAAGAAACCTCCACACTCATTTCTAAGCCATGATGCATATCTTGATATTACACAATAAACCCAAGGATTCGGCCTGAGTGCTTCCCCAGATGGTGTTTATGAAGAATTCCATTTTGCAAATTATAGTCTTCCCACTGCTTTAGCGTACTGAATTACCTCATTTCCTTGCAATTTAGTAGACTAAATAAAGAAAACTAAAAGTAGTAGATCCTGCAGGGAAGAAGCAATCATGCATTACAATTAATTTGCAATCTCAGCTGTCTTCTATCTTCTCAAGTCAACTGGTTCAACTTTAGCATCTCCCAAGCAGAGAATTAACTTTCTGTGGAACACTATGATGTTACTATTATCTGGTTCGGAGTTGATCTTAATTAAGCACAGCGTAAAGTAATAAACATCTAGCAATATATTATTGCTACACTGTAAAAACGCAGTTTCAAGCTTCACAAAAAATGATGAAAGAGAATTAGAAATATAAGCAGATCAAATTTACCACAGAGCCTGTTGTACTGACAAGAAAATATTGGAGTAACTTGGTAATCAAATATAATTATGTAACAGGTCTCAAACGTTGTTAGCAACTACAAAGAAGGGGGTGCCATTATGCAAAATGACTATGAAAGAGCTGAAAGGAACCCCCCCCCCCACAAAAAGAATGAATGGACTAACTTGGCACCCACTGATAACCTGAAGTTAACTCCCCTATGTTGGTGCCCTTGTTTGGCCCTTTGTCAGCATGAGTCCACATTGATAAGCAATTTGTTTTGTTGATCCAGATGTACTATTACATCATAATGTATATATATATATATATATATATATATATATATATATAATTTTTTTTTTTTTTTATATTGTGTATTTGATTATTATGATTTTGTGTCAGAGTATTTTTTTACTTTTCCTCCTGAAGAAGCAGACTAGTTACCTGAAACATGTAGAGGAGTCAACATCATCCCCCACAATTATATCTTCTTAGGGGTGTAGCTACAATAATTTTGACTAATGCAATTTGTTAGATCATGCTGTTGAATTCATGTGGTTTTAAAAAAATAGTATGTACATGTTTGAGATTCACTCTTTTTTTGGATTTTTTACAAAAAAAAAAACTAATGAAATTTTTAGCAATAATAAAAATTACTAGTATTTTTTATTTCATGTTGTCAATTGGTGTTGAGATTAACTCTTTTTTTGGAGTTTTTTTACCCTTCAGCTCTTTCAAAATTCAGATATAAGGCAAAAATACAACTAATGAAATAAAATTTTTTTTTTTACCCAAAGATCACATATATTATATAATTACTTAGGTTATATTTTATATATATTTAGTTTAAAACTTATAAATATTTTTTTTTTATTTTTTAATTTATTATAAAATACTATCATGGCACTGTAAGAAAAAAAGAAAGGCTAAAATGTTTAAAAGTGTCTCCTACCATGGACTTCTGTACTACTTGTGGGGGGTGATGAAGTTTTTTTTTTTTTTTTACACTGATTGCTTTTACACCCATATAGGATTGTTAAAAGCAATCTTCTCTTTCTTCTCTTCTGCAGTACAATTAAATACTTAGGCTGGATTGGTACTAAAGTCAAGATGCAAGGCTGTACTCATTTTTCATGTTGACCTCTGTGAGATCAGCGATTTCAGTAAATGTGGTAAAGATCTGCAGATTTCCATCATCCAATCAAGCGCAAGCAAAGATACTTTTTTTTATTTATTTCCTTACACTTGATTGGGTATTCTTTATAGAAAAGGCAAGGTTCACTTACATTTTCCGTTTATAAGCAAAAAGAGTGCAACTTGCACTTGCAAAGTGCACAGTCTACTAGATTTTAATATTATTTAACTAAAATTATCATGGCACTGTAAGAAAAAAAGAAAGGCTAAAATGTTTTCAAAATGGAGGTCTCCTATGGATATCTGTGGTTAGTCTTCCTGGTACAATTAATACATTTAGGCTGGATTTACTAAAGGCATGATGCAGTTGTACTCATTTTTCACAGCGTTTAGTAAATGTGGTAAAGATCTGCAGATTTCCATCATCCAATCACCAAGCAACTCACAGGCCTTTTCCAACACATAGATTGGGTATTCTTTATATAGTTCACTACTGTAGAAAAAAAGTAAACTTTCAAACTTTTGTATAGATTTACCAATCAACTGCCTACATTTTTGAAAATGTAAGGGTTCCATTATGTTAAATCAATACATACATTCATACTTTTAAAAGCCAAAATCCCAGCTAAGAGTAGATACCACAAGATATCTGGGATTGTGTTTATTAGCTTCTCTTTAGTTGTTTGTTACTGGTGTAACATCTAGGGGGATTGGTTAAAAGATGGTAGATTTAAGCTGAACTTTGCTGAATAGTAAGGTTAACAATACAAACAGAGTCTGAAAGGCATGTATTCAAAATAGAACAATGTTAAACAAATTATGTATCTATCCAGGAGCTTCTAAGATCTATGTCTCTGTTACTTAAAGCACAACTACACTGCTTCTGAGCAGCATAAACCAAAAACACTATTCAATTCATTGTTTTAATATTCAAATAAAACTCTCCCATCCATGTTTCCATGCTTTATTTTGCTGAAAAATCACTTTGAAAAACACCCTCTACTAGTTCTGGACCCGGCCATCTTAAGTAAGGGTAGATGAATTTACTTCCTGGAATCTGGAAGCCATCTGTCCTTAGCTCAGGCTGCAGGTTGTGTTTAGCTGAGAAAGCCCCTTCTTGTCTTCTGCAGACTGCTGGGATAGACGAAACTAAATAAATGTAAAAAAAAAGTATAAAACAAATAAAAATAATATACTTTCCAATTTAATTACTTATATTAGCAATGGACGGATTAAAAACAGTCAATGCTGATTGAGAGAGTGAAGTTCCGCTTTAGGAATGACACTAGGAATCTAGTAGTACTGTTTCTGTGAAATTTTGAAGGAAAAGAATATAGAGAGTAATCACTACTTTGGTAAACCATACAGTAAAATACAAAAACAGTTACTTGTGCTGGCCCTAAACAGTGTCTCTCTCACAGTGAAGTAGGCTGGATCTGGTAGTCCAGGCAGGTGGCTAAAGGGATCCCAGGATCAGTTTTACAGGCATGTGAGTGGAGGAGACTTTAGGCTGGAAGCAAAGGTGAATGGCTATAGTCACAGTACCACCCTACTTTAAACTTGGTACTCTTGAAATATATACAGAGTGCTTTTTGCAGCAGCTGGGTCTTCCTTGAAAGCTACAATCCATTGCATTCCAACACTGTGGTCAAGAGTTGAGCACTGTACATATGGCAGCTGATTACATGCCCATCTATTTCTGCCTTATCAGGTATGGGCAGAAAATAGTTAAATGTATATCCCCAGGTAAAGTCTAGAAGGCCAGGGACTTGTGGGAGCCCAGGGGACTGTGAAGGGTAAGTAAAGGGGCACTTCGTTACACTCCACTCCACTCCACTTTGCGAACACAGAAAGTTATCCTGAACAAAGCATTCATGGATCTCCTGCTGTTTGGCCTCTGGGAGCACCTCAGGGTTTGAGTCATGGCTCTACTTTCAGGTGCATCAGTAGATAGTAGTTTAATGGCTCCACAGTGGGAACATAGACCTGATCTGGGGGACCAGTGTAACACTGTAACATTGTTAGGATCCATGGCTTCCCTTTGTGGATTTGGAGGCCCTTTGCGGTTCTCAATGAGCTTGAGGAGTGTACTGTGCAGGCACCCTTTTTTTCTCTGGCTCCTTCTCTCTGAATAACATAGACTGGCTTAGGTTAGTGTCAGGGCAGGGGCCGAGGAACGGACAGGCAGGCCTAACAATGTAACGCACTGGCTGACGACAACCACTACCCACAGACCGAAGTCCCTCAGGGCGCGGAGTCTAAGTCCCAGGCTGCCCTTCACCAGGGCCCCTGATGGTGGGGATGGACTTGACGCAGCCAGGAACCAGGTCGCGGCCCCCGAGATACCTCAGCTGCGGTAATGGCCGCCGCCAATGGCGTGTAGCTGGTGGAAGAGACAAAAGAGTAGTCAGACAAGCCGGGTCAACAACAACAGGACAAAACAGTACAGGACAGCAGACGAGAATCACAGGTCACGAGCCGGGTTCAGCAACAGAGGGTCAGATCAAGGGAGAATACAAAGAATAGTCAAGTCACAAGCCGAATCAGATACCAGGAGAGTCACGAGAGTCAGAACAGAGTAATAGGAACACAAAGACACAAGACACAAGTGCAAAGAGCATGTGCGGGCCACAGGCTTATATATCATCAGCCACACCCCTCTGGGGGATGGACCACAGAGACCTGAAGGCATAAAAGGATTCCCATCATGCACAGCAGAATCCAAGATGGACGCCAGCACATGGAGTAACATAACCTCAGGGAAAAGGTAGGACCTTGACAGTTAGGCTAAGACTGGCATGATTAGGCTG